AGGGGTTCAGCGGGGTGATACCATTTCACCAAAACTCTTCAGTGCCACCCTCGAGAACATCATGCGATGACTGGAATGGGAAAGCATGGGAGTGAAGATAGATGGTCAGCAACTACACCACCTCCGCTTTGCTGATGACATCGTTCTAATAACACCAAACATCAGCCAAGTGGCACAAATGCTGAACGACTTTGACCGTGAATGTGGAAAGGTCGGACTACAGCTGAATCTTACGAAGACAATGTTTATGAGAAACAGCCTTGTTCCTGATGCTCCATTCACTCTCAACAGAACCACCATCTCCGAATGCAACAGTTATATATACCTACCTCGAGAAATCAACATGATGAATGACCTGGCACCTGAGTTGCGCAGGAGGAAGAGAGCGGCTTGGAATGCCTTCAAGAACGTTGAAGAAATAACTTAAAGGACAAAGAACCTCCAGCTACGAGCACATCTCTTTGATTCCACTGTTCTTCCTGCATTAACATATGCCTCAGAGACCTGGACCCTATGAAAACAGGATGAGAACGCTATTTGGGTCTCTCAAAGAGGAATCGAAAGAGCTATGCTTGGAATATCACGATTCACTCAAATGAGAGATAGTATCCGGAGTTCTGATCTTCGTCAACGCTCAAGAATCAGGGATGCTGTCTCATTTGCCAAGACATCAAAAATCAGATGGACTGGACACGTAATGAGGTTTACAGACAACCGCTGGACTAGAGCTATTACTGATTGGATTCCACAGGACATCAAAAGATCACGTGGACGCCCACCTACAAGATGGTCAGACTTCTTCGTCAAGACCCTGAATGATCGGTTTGAGGCTCTGCATGTTCCTAGAACGAACAGATACCACTGGGCTACGCTAGCACGCAACCGGGATGAATGGAGACGTTACTGGCACCCGCTGGAGTAAATCGATGAATGACGGGGATTAAGTGATTAAGTGATAAGTGATGAGCCAGGAGTAACCCCTGAGCATCGCCAGGTGTGACCCAAAAAGCAAATAAATAAATAAATAAAGAGAGGAGGGTTTGCCTGCAGCACATATATCTTCCTTTAAGTTTGTCTTCCCAGAGATCCGATGCATTCTCTGGTCAGTAGGATTAATCCCATGGGAAGTTAAAAACAACCCCCCAAACCAAAGTCAGATAAAACCAAAATCTCTGGCAAGTGGTAAATAGCTTGAGCACTGGTGCTCCTCCCCTCCCCTCCCCTCCCTTCTCTTCTCTTCCTCTCCCCTCCCCTTCCCTCCCCTCCCTCTTGCAGTCTTGCTGTCTTGCTTCCTGTGAGCAAAGCTCTCAAGCAATGTTTAGGAAGTCCCAGGGCTACTTCTAGTGATTTTTATACCAAACAGTCAAGGGTTCAGTGGGAGAGCTGGAAGATAAGGTTTAGCTGGACTTTCCCTATGGAGCGGAACTGGATGATCACTTGGGTCAGGCTGGTAGTTCTGGGTAAGGGTTAGGGAGTGTATGTGGTGCCAGGGATCAAACCAAGTTGAGGGCATGCAAGGATATGTGCCCTAACCTTTGTACTATCTCCGTGGTCCCATGTTTTCTAAAAAGCCTCAGTGTGTATTCTGATTGGCAGCTGTGTTGAAAGCACCATCCAGTTTTATCAACAATGAAGAATTGGTAGCTGGGACCCTCTGATGCGGTTTCTCTTAGCTAACAGTTATTATCCAGAATTATCTGTGGACTACTCCCAGTGATTTAATAGGCCTCACCTCCAAGGACAATTGAATGTAAATATCTTTCTAGGTAGGACTGGGATGTCTGGTTTTCCCAAAGAGTCATTTATAGAGATGACGACAAACGGAACCCCAGTCCATCTAATTGAGCCACTTTGGTGATTCATGTGAATTTTCTCATGTTCTGAATCTTACAAATGAACTTGAATTAATTTCTATTTTGGTGGGGGAGGGGAGACACACCTGGAGATGCTCAGGGGTTACTCCTGGCTCTGCTCTCAGGAATCAACCCTGGTGGTGCTTGGGGACCATATGGGATGTTAGGGATCAAACCCAGATCAGTAGTTGTGTTTAAGGAAAGCACCTTACCCAATGTACTATCTCTCCAGCTCCTGGACCTAGAAAAAAATGGATTTGGGGCATACCTGGCAGTGCTCAGGGGTACTACTGGTGATGCCAGGGATACCATTTAGTGCTAGGGGTTGAACCAGGGTCTCTTGCCTGAAAAATATGTATCCAGTCTTTTGATCTATCTCTTCACTTTTTTTTTTTAAAGATAGGTGGTTCAAAAGGTAAAACACCTGCATCCATTTCTCTTTCTTTTGACTTGTTTATACAGACCATCAGGAGCCTTTCTCCTGGAACTGAGCGCTAAAGAAAGATGCCACTAGGCCCTGAAGTCTGCGTGCAGAGACTGAAGGATTAAGATGGATAGCACTTCCATTCTTATTCTAGAAAGGGGTGTGGGATGGTGGGGTGCTGAGTCGGTTAATATCAAGGCCTGAGAGAGAGTTCCCCACCTCTCAACCGAAAGGGAAGTAAAATCTCTTCTTTGTAAAGATAAATGAGACTGTAGAGGTTCAGCCTCCCGACCCTTTCAGATGCAAAGTCACATGTCTGCCTCTGGCTAAAATTCAGGGGAGGCCAAGGTTCAACCCAGCATCAAGGTTCTGGAAGGTAACATTCTCCATTTATTTCTAGATATATGCACAAAACATCTATTCATTAATTTAAGACAGATGAATGCATTAATAGCTACATTTTAAAAAGAGAAAAAGCAAAATGAAGGGGGACCTGAGAGGTCCTTAGAGGAATACTTGTGCATCTAGAGAACTGAACAGAGCAGACTGGGAAAGAGACCAAGGGAGGTTGCACTTGGATTTACAGAAGGAAAGGAGGTAAAGAGAAGAAGTGAACATATGAGAAAATCTTAGTTCTTCTTTCTCATCCTCAGACACTGCTCTCAAGAACCTGTCCTCTTAGGACCCTTAGATTTAATAGGAAGAAAATACAAAGAAAAAGGAAGGAAAAGCAGTGAGGATTTACTGTTTGCAGACTTTAGTTTTAGAGCATTGCTTATCAGGCTCGTTTTATTTCATTCTCTTTGCACTGCACGTTTGGAGATGTTATTCCCATTTTGCAGATATGTTGAAGAGAAGCTGAGGGATTCACACTGGTAAAAACAACTCAAGTTCTTGGATACCTGTGGCTGGCATTTAACTTCTTAGACCACATGCCGGGACTCAGTTCCCCTGGCAAGTGCCCTGGGAGGGCTCAGAGGTGTTTTCCCATGGAAGCAGCTGTATTCTGTTCTCTGACTGGTGGACTCTACTCCGGAAGAGACAGGAGAAACAAGGCTTTCATCAGACCGAAGGGTTGAGGTGGGGGAGATCCTGGAGCTGGCAGGTTCCCAGCGACAGGTTTGCTTTGACTCTTTCATCGGACGGGTTTACAGTTTGCAGCACTTTCCAGAGAGTCGGTTTAATTTCTGAGCCACGGGCAAATAGAGGGGGAGATGTGGGTAGGGGCAAATGGAGAGTTATGTTGGGTCCCATTTTACGGACCAAATGAGGCTTTCCCTCCTAGGTGGTCTCAGAGTGGTACAGGCAGAGGTCTAAGCCCAGTGCCAGATAAGAAAATCTGCACGGATCTCATCATTATGCAAAGCCGACTGGGAGGCTTGGTCCCTTTCTTGCCCAAGCCCATCTGTCTCCTCGCGCCGCCCCCGGGCTCAGAAGACTGGCGGGGAACCCGGCCCGAGGAGGGCTTGGGAGACCCGCCTTGTGCCATCAGCCTTTCGGATCATAGCTAGCCAGGCCGACCACCCTCCGCGTACACAACAACCTCAGCAACAAAACGCTCCGGCCTCCCGCCCATCCCAGCATCCCGCCCCTGCCCCCCCCAACCCCCCCAGGGAATTGCATTCACATCAATGGGGGGGGGGTCGAGAGGGAGGGTGCGCTCAACCAGGCTGCAGGTTTTAGCCCAATGAGTTCCAATAGGTGCCGAAGCCTGGACGTGGGAGATGGGATGGGTGAGCCACCTGTAAGGGAGAGAGCCAAGGGGAGCGTGTGAGCTCGAGCCAGGATGCCCGAGCCTGAGACCGAGCGCCCGGGATTCGAGGGCGGCAGGCAGGGACCGAGGGGGCATCCCAGGTTTCCGTGCCCGGGCTGGCGCCCAGCTCCGCGCGGGGTGACCCGGGGCCACGCGGGCTTGAAGGGAAACAATAGCGACTCTTTAGACACTGGGTTCCTTCCACCGGCGGCTCAGGCCATCGACGAAAACCTCTTTTCTCCTTCGGCTAATTTATGGCCTGAGGCTGCTGCTGCTGCTGGTGGGGGTGGGGGTCGGTGGAGCGTGTTGGAAGTGGGGGGAGGGGTGGGGAGGGGAGGGAGGAAGGGAAGGAGGGAGGGAGCGCGTCTCCAGTTCGGGGTGGAGTGGGGGGCGAGGGGGCGGCGGTAAAAGGAGTCTCCCGAGGCGGCGGCGCCGGTGATGTCAGCTCTCGACGAAAATAGAGAGGGATCGCCTGCAAATCCCCAGCTCCGGCGGGGCTAAATCTCGCAATCCCTCCCGGGCAGCAGGCGCCGAGCCAGGGCGCAGCGGCCTCCCCCCGCCACCACCACCATTCCCAGAGCGCACACACCCTCGCACACTTGCACTCCCGCACACACGCACACGCACACACACACGCACAACCGCCTGCACGCTCCGGGGAACGCACACGCGCGGGCAATTGTCCGCGCCGCTCGCCGGGCTCGCAGGTGGCGGCGAGCGCATCCTCGGTGCGCGCCCTCCAGCAGCCCGGGCCTGCGCGCACCCACCTCCGAGGCCCCCCGCCCCCAGCCCCCAGCACCACTACCACCCCCACCACGAGGGCTCTGCCCAGTTTGCCACCGAGGCCGGCGTCCTCCGGGAGCGCGGGGTGCGCGCGGTGGGAAGAGCCCGGGACGCGCGGATTAGCTCGCGTAGAAGCCTCGTCCCGCGCCCGTGGAGGCGCCGCTAAAGGGCTTACCCCGGGCGGGGGGTGGGTGGAAGGGCGGGGAGAGGTTCCCCCTTTAAATACCGCGCCCGGCCACACTGCACCGCTCACCCCGGCGCCTGCTCGCTCCCTCACCCGCCGCCGCTGCCGAATTGTGCCGAAGAGGAGGGGGCGTTCCCCAGACCATGGCATCAACAGAAGGGTGAGGGGGCTTTACTCCGGATTCAAAGGGAATGGGGTAAAGGGGGAGGGTGGGGGACATGCGGGGTGGTGGCCCCCTCCCATCCGCGCCCGGGACCCTGGAGAGGTCCGCGTTCCCGGGCCTCCGAGACAGTCTGGTGGTGGCAGATCGATGGCTTAGGCTGGGCTTGGGCTGGTGGGGAGGAAATCGATTTTCTCTCCCGGTGCTTGCTTCTGAGCCCTTTGGAGGACCTGAAAGGCCGAGGGGCTGGTTTATTTCAGTCGAATTTAGTTCAGTGGAAGCGTGAAAAAACGAGCGCTCTAGGGAGGGGAAAAAAATCCTCGGGAGGTTACTTTTGCGATGGGAATACAATAGGGATCGGGCTCGGCGCGCGCTGCACGCTGCCCCGGGGAACCGACGCACCCCTGAGCGGCGGGGACCGCGCAGTGCCGGCCCGCCCGGGAATGAATGAGCCGGGGCTGGGGGTCGGGGCGGAGCGAGGTGCTGCGCGCGCGGCCTTGAATGTGGGACTTGCAGGGCCGCGCGGCTTAGACGCTGCCCGGGACCGCGAGGGCTGCTGGTGGCCGGAGGGAGGAATCTCCCGGATGCTCTCGAAGGAAGAGTGGGGAAGATGAGGCGCTTCCTGGAAGAGACGCGGAAATAAGTGGTTTGGGGGCAGGCACTGGAATATCCAGACTCTGGTGTTCTCTCCTTACTCCTGAGGCTGCCTTCAGAGGGAGAACGTTCGCAGGGATGAAGATATCGAGAGAGCGAGAGAATGAGCTGTCCTTAAACAGAGGGAAATGGAGCCTAGAGGGACAAAAGGATCCCTTGTCTACCATCACTTTCAAGGAAGGGCCTAGTTCGAACCCAGGTCCTGGGACTGTTCTCCCAGTCAGCTTTTCTGACTTGGTAGAATCGAGAATGAAAAGATCTTTGAGGGAAACTCAACCTTTTGCTTAATTAACAAAACTGCACTAGACTCTTGTTAGGGCTTGGGGACTGGGGCGTTCTGTGGAATACAAGAATCCGGTTCCTTACAGCTTGGATGCAGTCTTGGGCACTGGCATTCCCCAGTGTTTTCACTAGGAACAGTGACCAGCTCTGTAGGTTTTCTGGGAGTGAGTGAGTGTCTGAGTAGGAGTGGAGAGCTGGTGCCAAATCACAGACCCAGATTCCAACCTCCAACACAGAGGAAGAAGAATCTAAAACTGGGTCCAGGAGAAGGAACTCATGCCTTCCTCTTCTCTGTCCCCTGGAGTCCTTCCAAAGTCCTGGCATCTTAGGGCAGCTTCCTCTCTCTTTGCATCCTAATTGTTCAGCAGTGTAGACTGTTTTTGATCATTATTTTCCCAGAGAAGATGCTTCAGAAAGGTATCAGAAGGGTGGGACTTGGTGTTAAGACAGATCTCTCAGGTTGCTTGTTAGGACCCCACATGGCCCAATCTTACTTGTTTAAACATTATTAGAACAGATATAAAAGCATTTCTGCCTTTCTTGAGGGCCCATCTAACTTATCCCTGTCTGTACAGATGAGTTTGGAAGACATCATGAAAGAGATGGATAATGGTCTTCTTTCCAATCCTGCGTCCAGTTCAGACCTTGTTTCGAAGGCCAGATAGTAAAGGGCGAGGTAAAGACTACAATACCCCCATAAAGATTATCCTCATCTTTATTCTGAATGAGAATTACCAAATGATTTAACATTAAGCATAGAGTCATTTTAAAGGGCTCACATTTCATTCGTGCAGTATTTACATATTACTCATAGTTAAGATTGGCCAAAGGAACTTGTATTTAGGAGACAAAAAATCTGAAGAAAACGGAAGTGCTGGCATGCAAGTAGACAAAGATCTATGACGCATTATTGTTTCAGAATAGGAAACTGGTGGACAGTAGCATCCACAGAAACTCTGGTCTTCCTTTCTCCTCTTCCTTTGTGCCATCTTTTATTCCTGGAGCATTGATGAGGTCTTGTTGGGTAGACCTCACATGCTGGGATCTCTGGGGGAATATAAAGATATAAATAGCCCGGGAGCTGGCTTTTAGAAGATGAGCGCTAGTTGGAGAACCTTGATTAGTTCATTGTTCTTATGGTTTACTGAGATTCTCATACCTCCCCTGACAGCATCGCTTAATGTGTCTTAAGTCTGGATATTCTCTAAGCATTCCCAGACCACTCTCCTTTGTTAGTCTTTAACTTGAAACCACTTTCTTGAAATACACATTACTGGGCAGTGTGTATGTGTGTGTTGGGGGAGGGGGGAGCAAAAATAGCAATATAGTTACTTGCCTCCAAAGTATTTGTCTTTGATCTGGAAAATTTGGGAAATAGGTATATTGCCCATAGTGTTATCGCCCATTGTTACTTACTTGATGATGTAGTTACAATGGGCTGTATCTGTTGATAAGAGTATTTTAAGGAATTGATAGAATAGTTGACATCTTTTGCTTGTTTAGCACCCCCCTTTCAAAGCTCATTTGTACACATCATCACTTTTCATTCTTCCCGTGACTGTGAAACAGACATTGCTATGAAATAGACTTTAAGAATGCAATAATATAAAACATAATGCCATCTTTTCAAGAGGATTCAAGGACTTGGCAGAATCTTGGAGTATTATTCATCAAGAAATGTCAGTTATCATTGAGAGTGTCCTAGGCATATCTTGTACAACAGTTAGTGAATTTCAAAACTTTCACGTATACACCTCAAAATTTGGAATAGTCCCATTACCAGCCTGTGTGCTTGATCTTTGCTTTGGTGAAAATGCTCAAACAGAATCTGAATGGTCTGAGGTCTCTGGCTGTCTTGGAATTGGGATTATTAGTATCCAATTTCTAATAAAAGTCAACAGTGGACTCTTCTCTGGTTGCCAGGTCCTAAGAAGTATTTTCTTGTAAAACAAGATCTAATTTAATAGCTAGCTGTTTTTTTATTTTGTTTTTGGAATCCTCCTACATGGCTAGTTTTAGGTCCCTGATGCAAATTGGAAACAGATCAGAAGTAGTTGGTGGGAGACAGGCTAGTGTCTGCTATTGACTAAGTTATAGTGGAGTGCCCAGAGGAGGACACTTTAGAAATGTGTTTTTGGGGTAGGAAGAGGCCTGAACTCCCCAGGGATCATGTTCCCAGGAGCCAGGGGGTCAGGGTGAAGGCCAAACATGAGGGCTTAGATTTCAGTGTCTTTGAAATCCATTGAAACAGAAAACTGCTGAGAGCCCCAAAACCTTGGCAAGGGGGATCTCTGCATTTATTATTTCAAGTTAACAAAAGCAAAAACTAATGAGCGGCATATCCCTCCCCCTTCTCAGGAAGGATGGTGAGGTCCTTGGAGGATGAGTGTATGAAGTGGAGTTATTGGGACATAAGTGATATTTGGGTCCTACTGGAGTTTGCATATTGCCTGCCTTGGGCTTTCCTGAGATTTTCATTTCTCATTTTCAAGAACATAGAAATCAGCCTCGTTGGGTAAAATAGATATGAGCAACCTCTGAGAAAGGCATTTCAGGCTTCCTGAGACAGCCTCTTGTGAGTGATTGAAAGCTTAATTTTCGAGAAACAATTTTTATATCTAAAGGATACTTGGAAGAAGTCAGAACATTAGAAACCCAAATAATGACTACTGTTCTGAGTAGATGACTACTTTTCTTTTTTTGTGCAACATGATTAGACTGTCACCATCGGATACAGATATAAGGGAACTGTTAGACAAGGAGAAGATTTAACAAGATGGAAACAAGCAATATTTAATATTGTGGGAGATTTCTTGGTCAGTATGCCACAAATCCTACAGATAAGGGTTTGCAAAGTTTGTTCCCAGTTTTGAAGCTCAGTACAGGTTATTGACTAAGTTACAGTGGAGCACCCAGAGGAGGACACTTTAGAAATGTGTTTTTGGGGTAGGAAGAGGCCTGAACTCCCCAGGGATCATGTTCCCAGGAACTAGGGGGTCAGGGTGAAGGCCAAGCATGAGGGCTTAGATTTCAGTGTGTCTTTGAAATCCACTGAAACAGAAAACTGCTGAGAGCCCCAAAACCCTGTACTTCAGTGGGACTGGCTTGCTTCTCTCAAGAGAAGGAACTGCATCTATTCTTCACTTCAGTCACCTGCAGTAGTGGCTTAAATCAAATAAGACATCAATAATCAAAAAATCTCTTAGTCGTAGTGTGTAGAAGAGCCCTCCCAATATAAAAACGTTGTGGGTTTTTTTGTGCATTATAAACATTTGTGGTTGAAGGCTGACAAAATCTTACCAATGCCACCGATATGTCACTGTGAGTGAGGGATTGGCTCTTCCTTGCTCTTACCAGCTTGTTGGAGGGTAAGCAGGCTGTTTTCATAGAAAGGGCTTTAGAATCCAGATTACAGCAAATCTCTTTATTTATCATGACTGTGAGCTTGCTCTCTCCTCCCTCTACCCGACCCTCAAGGCACCCAGCACCAAAACCTTGAGATGAATTAATTAAGGCGTGTTTAAAAATATCTCGCTGCTCCATCTCCACGTGCTCCATCATTGATTGGAGGCAGATGGGCTGCATATTTGTTAGTGGAACAGAAAAGGACTCGCATATCGTTATAAATCTGTCTGGTTGGCTTCCAAGGATGGCAGAAAAGACAATGGACTAGCAGTGTTAAAGGAGAAGGTCCTTAAACTTTGAAAGGAAAAACCTTCTTGTTTGATGCTTTTTACTTATTTTTTTTTTAGTTTTTTTTTTCAGCATTGCTCTTTATTTAGCCTCATCTACTATTTGTGTATTGATTTTCACTCACGTGGTGATAGGTATGGCTCAGAACAGAGGGGACAGCTGTCTTGAAACAGGCAGGGCAGGGTTGTTCCTGCCCCCCGCATCCCCCCCTCCTTGCTGGTGATCTCAGCCACTGCTGCTTTGAAGTTGAGCGACCTTGAGCAAAGGCTGTGCTCCGAAAAGAGAATGGACTCCATTGCAATAGCCGGACTGGATCTGGGTCAATCCCTCTGTCTCTTGGGTAGAGATAATGGTCTGTGTTCCAGATCTGG